CTCAATGGTCTAGGCTCATCAAAAATAACATCTCTATTGACAATAACCTTATTGGCTACTCGATCTCATAGCCTGTAACCTTTCACATTAAAGGCATATCTAAGAAAACGACACATCTTGAATGTAAGATCTAGCTTAGTCTTATTCTGCTTGGATATGAAAGTATAAGCAGCGTAATAAAAAATTCTCAAACAACTATTATTAGTCATACGTTTGTGACTTAAATCAAACATTTTCAAGAAATTGATCGCACTAAAAGGAGAAAGATTTACCAAATAAACTCCGTTGTTGATAGCTTTGGTCCAAAATGCACATGATGAAATCTGATTGGCTCAATATACTTTGTACTTTTTCCAACATTGTTTGATTGTGACTCTCAAAAACAACATTATGTTGCGGAGTATAAATTGTGATGAGATGGCGAGTAATCCCCTTCTCTTTGCAGTAACTCTGAAAATCCTCAAAAGTATACTTTCCGCCATTATCCGTACGCAAGTATCTCACCCTGTGTCCAGTTTGAGTCTCAACTTGGCCCGCTAACTTTTGAAAGTTGAAAACAACTTAGACTTATGTGTGAGGAAATAAACCCACACATATCTTGAGTAATCATTTGTAAATGATACATAATACAACTTTCGAGAGAGTGAGTGATTAAGAGAGGGTTCCCACATATTACTATGTATATAATCAAGTAACTCTTTGAAACTATGAGTTTCAACCCAAAGGCTCGTCAGTGCCGCTTACCCATGATACAATGTTTGCAAAACGTCAAGTCAACTATATCCAAACCGGGGCTATCCGGTTTGGATATAGACTTTCTCTCGTCAAGGAGATACATGTACCTGTCATTCACGTGTCATAGCCTAAAATGTCATACATTAGACATCTCAAGTCAAGATCAAGTAAAGTGAACTTCTCCACAGATGGTATTAACCTCTAGCATGTATAGATTATTGTCCTTGTGTCCTCAAAGTACTATCTTATCACGGAATCTAACGTCCAACACGCCTTTCTTAGAGCTCCAATCTAGGCCGTGTGAGTCTAGCATACCAAGAGAAATCAAGCTCCTCTTCTTGTTAGGAAAAACCTTAACTTGGATCATTGTACATGTGTCCCATCAAACATGCGGATCTTCATAGATCCAACACCTTCAATCCTACAGGGTTGATCATTCATCAAAACAACTGATACGTTTGATCCTAAAAAAATAAAGAAAAACTCTCTAATATAACATATGTGTTTAGAACAAGCACTATCAAGAATACCTACATCATCAACAACCTTTGATGAATTGCATAGGGCATACTTCTGACATCATAGACCATTCTCCACCAAGTCATCATTTACAGCTTCAAAATGTTTCGTCACATTCGCCAACTAAGAGGAATTCGCGCCTTTGACCTTCTTCATTAGGCAATCTTTTTTGATGTGGCCATTCTTGCCACATTGCTAACAAACTACCATATTCATACCAAACTACCATATACCTCGTCACACTTGTACACCTGCTTCAAAACCGTAGGTTGAAGATATCTCAAACGATGTACACTGCGTGTTCTTGCAGATTATTCCATTCGATATCGTTGAGGGTGTCGGGTTTTTTTCTCAACAGCATGCTAAGGCCCATGAACTTCAACTTCTCTTTGACCTGCCTATCGAACACAGGTAGTATCCGTGTCCATCAAACTTGATAATCTCACAATCAGATCCTCTGGCTTCTCTTACTTTCATCTGTGTACAACAATAACAATAAGTTGTGGCAATTTACTACTTTTGGCTCATCCGCCACCTTCTCCGAGGTACACCAATGCCTTAGATACGTCGATAGCTTTCCTACCATGCCCAATTTGCCTATATTTAGAGAAGATTTTATTAAAAAAAATATTCTTGCCAATGTAATATTCATACAAAATATTTTCAAATCTACCCGAAGATGCCCGAACCTGCCCGAACCTGACCGCTTGCTACTTGCACCTGCCCGAAGGTGACCGTTAGCTGCCCACACCTGTTTGATGTGCCAGAAGCTGACCGCTTGCTGCCCACACCTGCCCTTGATTAGCAAAGCTAACCGCTTGCTTCTCCTACATGCCCGAGATGCTCGAATCGCACCGCATCGGGCGTGAAAACCACGTGTCGTCGAAGGGAGAGTACTGAAGTTTTAGAGTTCCTCGTCTGCATCGCACGTCCGCGTACATGCACTCGTCGATTTTACTCGACGACCATCCAGAATTGTCACTCAAACTCTTCCTCCAGAACTACAACATCATCAAAAAGTGGCGTACGCTCAGAATCTAAAATGCATCGAATGTCATGAAACCTTGGAACACAAACGCGTTCAATAGCGCATTTGCTCAACTCTCAACCTACATCCAGCCGAGGATGAGAACAGATCACCTCATTCCTTTTGTGAAAATGCCTCTTCTAGCCTTCTATTCAGTAACTTTTCTCCGGTTCACGGAAAAAGTCACTCCCACCAAATTTGTCATAACTCAGACCGAATTCGAATCCCAAGAAGCTTCGAACTCCAAATTGCAGCTCTTCACAAACACTTGACATTCACCACTCACCACACTTTGTTCTTTGCCTGTTTGAAACATCATGTTTCTGCCCACTCATCGACTCTCTCACTTCTCTCAAAGCTCTGATAGCACTTTCTGACGAGAAATAATGCTAGTGATAGTAACAAACATACGTGACAAACAAGTATTCCCACACGAGTAAAATGAGAATACCCACATAATACACAGATGCACTCAGATATGTGATTCACCCTTCTTCTAGGCTAAGTCCACAGGCAAAAAGGAATCATTTTGATGAAAAGATGCACATGGGGTTACATACTCTTGACGAGAGCTATAAGTATTCTTCTTCTAACCGACATCCGACGACTGAATATAGATTGTCACCCCAAATAAAGGAGTTAACCGCAACATATTTATGATACATAAATAGAAATAAGAAAACATCAATACATTTAGATTGCAATATTAAAATAATTGATCTTTGAAAACATAAAAATAGCATTTTTATATTTGAAATGCAAAATATTAGAATATTCCAGAATCTATAATTTAATTTTTAATTAAGTCTTATGTGTTGAAATTTATCACATTGAAAAACTTGGATTCAAAAATTTTAAGCCAAATTATAATGTATGAAGTTGAATATCAGATTATATGATATATTTTTATTAAAAAACATTTATGAACTGCAATATAAACATCTTTATAAAATAGATATTAAATAACAAAAATACTTAATGAAAAAATCAAATCATGATCATATATGAATCTAACATCTATAACTGTAAATAGTATTATATACCAGTTTAACATATGTCACAACGTTTCCATTTATAAATAAATTTCTTGTATAATATGAGATGTTTAAGATATCATGTTATTTTTTATCTACATATATTGTTCTGAAAATTAAAATGAATTTTCCTGGACATTAAACAAAATTATAATTTTTAAATTGAATCATGGACTTTTGGCAATCTTATAACAAATCTTCAATCTTACTTATCTGAAACACCATGGCCATTTCATATTTGAAGATTATTGTTGTTGTGATTTTAAGATAGAAAATTGTTCATAAGAAATCAATGTTAAAAATACTTTACAAAAATCTATCTTATGTATTTTATAATCTATAGTTTTATTTCATATATGCCTAATATGATATATTCTAGAATAGTCTATGATGAACATTTGACTTCCTCACTTTGTATGTCGACTACATGAGAAGTATGCATAATTTTTGATGTAAAACATTGTAATCAATCTTCACATATTCAATAATAACATGATATTCTTTGAACCAGATTTATTCTGTAATTTATTACAGTTCATTAAAAGACAAATCAACACTCTCTTCATTTGACTTAACCACACTACAGTAAGATAATGAACACCATAATGCCATGTGACAATTAAAAATTTAAGTCTCAATTGACAACATCAATTTCTCATCGAAAATAGAGCAGATTGTGTACGTCATAATTGAGCTTTAAATTTACATATAGAATTTTTAAAATAATGATGAAATAAACAATGATAATAATGATACAATTTCACATCAAAATCAAGGACAATAACTTTGTTTGCATGACTAGTGTAGATCCTTGCCCGACGTTTTTCAAGATACTAAAACTATCAGAAAAGTCGACAACGCAGTGCAGAGCTTGGGTTAGCATCAGAAGCTAAAACTAATTCTAGGGGAAGAAAGAGAAAAGAGGCCAGATGCATGAAAAATTTTACTACACCAGCATACCATAAAAGTATGAAAATAATTGGAGATAGCTCAAATAGTATGGAGATGGAACTATTTTTACACTAATGTATGTGTACTGGGAAGATATCGAGGCATTGAAATTATTTTTTGCATCGAAGTACTCTGGACCTCAAAAAAAGTGTTTCAGACGACCATAATATATTACCTGCCTATCGTCAATGGACCTAATGAGACACAAACGGGATAAAAATAATAATCATGTACAACACTTTTATACACTGTACGCGTAGTCCTCTGGAAGGGACCTGAATGCAAGTCTGTCAGTCAAGGTTTCCCCATAGTCCCGATGATGATGGCAAAACCAGGTCCAAGCGAAATCCGTGTTATCTACGAATCTTTCATACCTCCCGGCCTCTTATCCATTCGAACGCCGGAAGACGAAAGGCGAAAGTTGAAACCCGGTTGCCGGTTGCAGAAAACTGCTTGTCGAATCGGCAGATATTTTGCTGACACGTAGAAGGGACCTAGCGACTACACTAGAGATGTCGGTATATGGATGTCCAGGTGGATGCTTTCAGCGACGCCACCGAGAATGGATATCAACCCGCGGGTGCATGATGATGGTTCGCATGAACGGCCTGGATGGCACCCTGTAAGATGGGGGTTGCAGAAAGATGATGATGCCCCATGTCACCAGTGCCATGATGGCATGCGAACATAGCAGAAGCAGGACAGGAGCGACTCTCAGGCGTTTAGAGCTTTTTGCAGATCCCGGCTGTTTTGTTACGAACTTCGCTACCTGTGAGCGCGAAAGTCTTTCCTCTATATGTCTGTCTCTCGCCTAGCTCTAAAGTTGCCCTCAACGTTCTTGCCTGCGTTCGTGCACATTCTCCGCACTTCCAGTTCCTACTTTTCCACATTTTGCTGCCTTCTGCACTTCCGCCCGACCTCTCGTCCTCTCGTAGCGCCTGCTTCGATTCCTCCTTACTGGCCTGGTACCTCACATCAGTCTCTCCGCTAGCTGAGACTTTTGTTCGATCTCTTCTTATTCGGTTGACTAGTGGGAAGAGGTCAGAGCTGCGTCGGCTTGGCCAAGAGTACGCGGTTGGTGTCCAGCAGGGAGGACTCTTTTCATGTAGAATCGGAGAATAGCTTTGGGGCGGCGTTCACATCGGCGAACATCGTTGTGCCCTCGCTGCACAAGTAGTTTGGGTCAAACTGGTTTTACAGGATTTCGGTGCCAATTCTGATGTGACAGTTGATACTGGGGGCGGCGGAGGCAGGATCTTCCGGGGCACATACCGTGGTTTGTTGAGCCAGGCGATATTTCTCCTAATCTCGCGTGTGCCGGGCGTCGCGGAGATCCGCATGAGTCCAACAAGTAGGTTTTTGGGCACGATCCGTACTGTACCCTCAATTCGCGTGATTTTGCAGTTGGCTTAAGGCGCCTCTTCGGAAATGGATGGAAAGTTTGAGAATGATGGTTACCAAGAGTTGAAAGGCCTGAATCTCTATCCCCACGCTCAAACTTTCTGCTTATGAGTGATTGTTCCGTGCAGGAATTGCGATCGGGATCAAGGGGAACTATTGAAGGAATGCCGGAATCGTTTGGGAGACTTCTGTTTCTGAAGAGGAACACCGGCAAGGGATCCTGCGTGCAAGTTCGCTGACACAGACTCAGGACTGAGCTGCGGGGTCATGACAACATTGTTTGTCCTGCCGAGGCGAGGACCCTGAAACTACTGTGGTTAGTACTCGCATCTTCCAACTTGGTCTGCGGAGAATGGCCTTGGATAGTCTGCCTGCCCGGTGGCATTCTCGATCAGTGTTTTCCTCTCGTCCTTTCGGCTCCTTGTGTCCTGGCAGCGATGGTCTATTAGATGGTTCTCGCAATCTTCTCAACCGCAGGAAATCAGAATCTCTTGAGAGTCCGCGCTGTGCCCGGCGCTTAGTTCGAGCTTCTATCGATGCTGGTGGAAGCCTTCCCACCGGTCCTAGTCTTCGGACCGAAAGAGGACCCAGCTCCTTCACCTCATCGCCTTCCTCGTTTGGATGTCATCGGTCGTTCAACGAGCAGCAGCAGAGTGCTCCCAGGGTACTGCAGCGATGGAAGTCTGATGGAGCAATGGTCATGCGAAGGGCCTTACGATTCGAAGAGTTTGGAGGGGATGAAAGCTGGAGGCGGCACACCAGTGAATCTAGTATTCCGGACGTTTCGCATGACGGATTTGAAACATTTGATAGTGATGTAGTTAGTTCCTCGGCCGCCCGCGAGAGTGGGGTTTTCGCGAAAATTGACACAGGAATGCGTTTCGACTCTCACTTTGGGATAGGGGATTCGGACCACCACGACCGAACGCCGTGCAGTGTCGAGGCTTCGGCGGTGGACGTGACAGCGCCGAGTTTTGTGAGGGATAGATCGTTTGCAGAGAGAAGCCATTTGCCTCCCAGAGGTTTGAAATCTAGTGTACAGACGAAAGCTGGGGAAGCAGTGAGTAGCTGCACGACGAGGCCCGAGAGTCTTAAGCGTAGAATGTCGAGGAGCATGTCTTTCGACAAAGCGCAAGGTAAGGGAGGATTGGATCGGCCGGAAACTACTGTTGCTTCTTCCGCGTCAACTCCACTCGGGCCAGCTCCTCAGGGACTGGGATTTTCCCCGGAGTACGTGGCAATCCCCGATTCTCTGAGAAAGCTGAAGAAGCGCAACAGGAATGTCTTGGCCACCGCAGGAGAAACAGCTTGCTGCTCTATCAAGAAGGCTTTCGACTCTATGGTGTTTATGATTCGAGCTCTTCAGAACTGTGCCTTCGAGATGCGTCAGGTTTTCGTTTCCACCAACGATGTGGAGAGCATTCTCTCCATGGTTCAGAGGGAGATGCAGTCTTCGTTTGTTTGGTTGTTTCAGCAGGTGTTTTCCTGCACACCCACTTTAATGGTCTCCGTCATGATTTTGTTGGCCAACTTCACCGTATTTTCCTTGGGCAACAACGTCGCTATCGGAGCTGTTCTGGAACCCCCAACGCCACTGGTTACTATTTTGCAGAGGAGGGTTGAATGCGAAGGTACTCTGATGGGTGTTGACGGGAAGAGCCTTTTCTCCTTCATCCGTGTTGACACAACATCGGATATTGCGAATTCCCGTTCTTCATCAGCTCCCACCATCTCTCCTGATAGTGAGCCCACCTCTTGTCGAGGTAGTTTCGGTTCAGGAGGGTTCGGAGGAAGATCGATTGTTGTTGCAGGTGGAGAGGAGGGGGATCACTTCTCTCGATTCAACAGTAGGAGAAATGCTATGTTCTCCGAGAAGGTCTCAGAGACTAAGGACGTCCAAAGGGCCTCTGGTCAAAGGTCTGTGCTGAGACCTGGAAGTGGCGCTTCTGTTTTCTCACCCAAATTTGAAGACATCATCGACGAGACTACATCTGGTGGAGGTGTTAGTATCGAGGAAGGGGTTAAGGTCGAAGAGTTGGGAGCGAGCGAGGAACTGTCCTATCAAAGTCTGCTCGAGCAAACCGCCCGGGAGCTGGAGTTGAAAGCCGGAGAGTCTCATCAGCACGTGCTTTTAGATCAAGAGACTCTCCGCAGACTGGTCGCGCCTGTTGTAGCCAGGATGGAATCCGATAACTACACTTGCTTCGATCGAACGGACCTCGAATATCAGCATGCAATCCGGGAAGAGCCCACCAATACGATGCTCATGGTCAATTATGCCCAATTTCTCTTCGCTGTTCGCCGGGACAATCGAGGGTGAGTTTCTGTTTTTGCTTCTCGAACAGGAATTGTGCTGCGACTTTTATATTTCTTGCCTGTCTTCACCGTCCGATGAGTTTCTCTTGCGAGTCTAAAAGATAATGTCGCTAAAGGATCGTTTCTTCGTTTACAGTGCCGAGCATTTCTTCTCGAAAGCCTTGAAGCTCGATAAGGAGGATGGCGATATCTGGGCACGATGGGCTATCTTTTTGTGGTTAGGGCGAGATGATCGACCAGCCGCCGACGAGGCGTACAGAGCTGCCATTGCTCTCGATCCTTGTAACCCATACCACGCAGGCAGCTATGCCCACTTTTTATGGCATTCTGACGATGACGAGCCGAATGTTTTGCTCATGGGATAGTCATGAGTTGACTCTTGAATTGTTCCGTATCGAGGTCATTCAAAATCAGGATCTTTTGATCTTTGATATGTTAATAGATTAGTCGGTTTGACATACCCACGCTTTGTTGTATTAGCGCGAATGTATGTATATTCACGAAATCCTTACCCCTGAGTTCCACAACTGGCGAGGATTCCAGTCCGAGTGGGTACTTTTTCAGCTGTTGTCGAGACGAAGTCTTTGAGAAAGCAGTGAGAAGTAGAGAGACGAGAAGGAAACTTTGATTCTATTCGCCGGCTTGCCGGCTTGCCGCCTTGTTCAGGATTTACCACTTCTGTATGATATTTTACATAGTGGCAATCCGCTTACACAGGAAAACCTAGACTGGCTGGCGATACATCTGCTTATTTATGTAGAAATTGTAAAGCCGAGGTTTCGGTCCGTCTATCGTATCTTTTCTGTGTGTACTCTTCTTCTTGAATTCATGGAGCTATATCTTTGTATCGACTTATCCCCAACGGAGCCTATTCGTGCGGAAAACTATCATGAGGGGGTGTGCGCAACTGGTCGCTTTCCCCACTTAGTCTTGGGACTTTTCACGACGACGAGGAGTGAAGGTCTGAGCTGTGTGACCTGGCGCCGTTAATATGGTAACATAATTTAGCTTTCTGAGCTGTATGAGAATGTGCTGAGAAATCTGGCGTCAGCTAATTCTCGATAATGTGAATTTTTTCCCTGGGAGGCAACTGGAAACTGCACTATTGTCGGCCGACTTATTGGTGTTGCTGGCATGTTTGAAACTGACAGTGTTCGCTACTTAGGAAGTACATATTGCTTCAACGATGCTTTTCACGGAGGGTGTGACAACGCCTGGAATTTGTGACCGCGGAGTGGGAGTGAAGTCAAGACTGTCTGCGCAACAGTATGGTGATGATTATTAAAAAGGGACGACTAGGGCCACATCGGTTTTGTTACGGCCACACCCGCCCGCTAATTACCATGCCCATGCTTGTTAGTGGCCATTAGTGTCAGGAAACGAAGATTTTGCTACCATGCCCATCCTTGTTAGTGGCCATTAGTGTCAGGAAACGAAGATTTTGCTACGGTCACACCCGACCGCCAATTACCATGCCCATGCTTGTTAGTGGCCATTAGTGTCAGGAAACGAAAAGGAACACCGAGAGGGTTATGGGAATGCGAAATCGACCCAAAAATCTTTCCTCGATGATAAGTCGACGACCCGTATTCAAGTCCCTCTCCTGCTACAAGGGGTGACGTCATCGTCCACCCATCCGGCACCGGAGACCACTAGGGTCACACCCGGGCCCTAGTCATCCCCACTAATAAAAAAGTAGGATGACTACACTGAGCAGATAGTAAAACTATGGCGTTGTCACGTCTACAGCGGAACCAAAATCCGCGAAAGGAGCCAACTACGATCACGAAATTTTAGGTTTGACCCCTATGGCATTAGGGTTGTCAATTCTTTGGTCCACTCAGCTGCGCAAGCTTGATAAATGGTAAATAGATGGGACCCAAAGGGTCAAAAGGTTAAATAACATAATACAAAAAAAATATAAAATCAAACCTCATCTACCTCATCCTTTTACGATCTATCCTAGCTCTGAATGGCGTCGCCTTTTACTGGATACAGAATGTGGTATTTAAACGTGATGACCATTCTAACTCATCACATGTCCAAAGAAAACAACATTCATCCAGAAGGCAATCATAGTTACAGCAATTTTGTTTACTCTCCGGGATTTGTCGCGGTACCCATCCAATTCAATTGTTATGTAACCTCCAAATTATTCTGGAAATGAAGATAAGCGATTATAAAAATCTCAACACCACCATGTGGTGCAAATAATTATCGCTGGGAACAGAAATGAAAATTACGGATTTCAGAATATTTCATCTAGTTATTCGAACATCTTCTTCATATAATATCTTCATAAAATTGTTCATAATGTCCTTTACCATTACCATGTCACCTAACAACCTTTGAGATGAGAAAATGTAGAACGTCAATGTCATACTATCGAATGAACTGAATATGTACCTTCCTGTAAGGAACAATTGCAAAAAAATATTGAGAAGAAATTATATGCTATTGTGTTACCTACTTTAATTTATATTACGTTATACTCTAATGTCACTGTATTTACTTTACTTTCACATGGTATACACTGATGTATATCAATCGATCAAGGCCATTTAAACGAATATCTAATAAGAGAGTATCTAATTAGATTGTAGATTTTGAGGTTACAGTTTTACACATAAATTACTGTTTTTTTAAATACAGAGATATTTCCCTTATATATCTTGGTGTAGCTTCTCATCTTCTTTGCTCCACTTTCTACCCTATTCACTCTCTTTATAACCTTTTCTTTCAACATTTATCAGACACAAAATCAGTATTGGCATTTCTGAATTGATCAATTGAGCATATTTTCTCTTCTTTAGTTCTAAAGGGAACACTTTCAGTAAATTAAAATAGATAACACAATAACATACAAAATCTTCAAATTTTTTTTCTTGCAATTGCTCCCTATAGGAAGGTTTATATTCACATCATATGTCGTTATATGATGTTTGTTTCACGACACTCTATATCGAGTTCTCTGATTAACTATTGTTTCTAGAGTAGCATCACACTCAAATAAACAAAGAAAGACCATGATTAATACACTATTTAGGTAATTCCGATAAAAACACTAGCCGCCTATAGTCCCGTATCTTTTCCAACATTAAAGGTATTATTGTGGTCCTTGCTCTTATGTATGACCTTTGGTCGTCCATACATGACACAAGAAATTCTCTGCGCAGAAATGCTTGGGTGTCCATTCTAGCCAAACTTTCGTCATTTATCAGATAAAAAAGGGTGGAAGACTGCACGATGCCGTTTGAAACCGTATGAGGACGGATGGAAAAAACAAAACCTGGCACCACTGTACAGCATTCCCGTTGTAAAGCTCATCCGTCTGATAATTCAAACTTTTACAGTATTTTTGCAATTCCGTTCCTCTCATAGCCCGCTAAAGAGCCCAATTTTCACCTTACCCTGACCATAATGCCTCCTCGACATAAGTTAAACTACGAACGACGAACCACATTCCTCATGTATCCAGTGTCTCGATCATGGATATACGGTCAAGATGCCTGCTTCTCCTTTACTACTCTACCCGTGTCGTCCACTTGGCGGGTTATCTCACCTTCCTAGGGTTTTCCCCACTTTGTCTCCAATGTTTTTTTACTAACTGACGTCCAACATTGTATCCTTTTCTGACCCACATGATATCGGATGAAGAAAGTGGAACATGTCCTATTACTTATTCGTACAAAGTTATCATCTGCAAATGGTGTCTCTTGAGAAGATATTTTGACAGCTCACCAACCGGTTTCCTTGCTTGACTGGTTGGACCTCATGTCTGAACCCGTGTAAGGTGTGTGTAGTTTTTACGCCAGGAAGGAGTGCGGGCGAGCTTTAGCCTCGTCTACTTTCTTCTCACAGTTCTGGGCACGTAGCGGTCGTCATTGGAGAGCATGACCACTCACACGTGCTTGTCTGCTTCAGAGCTACAGTAGGTATCTATGACTAATTTAGAGAACGACTTTGTCAGCTCCTAACGAGCTGCTACGTCCAAATTTGCTAAGCCGGGCATTTTCTAATTTTCACCTAGGGTAGAATGGCCACTATACGCGCAAGCTACCAACACTTACGCCGTCAAGATGAGGTTTTGATGGTCAAAGAGTATTGGTAAATAGTAAATAGATCAAGCCTGGGAACACTAAGGGTCAAAAGTCTAAAAGAACACATTACAAACTACCCAACCCAAACCAGTAGAGAAAAATAAACACCCTAGTTAATGGTTAGAACACTATACTAAAGTTAATAATCTAAATGATAACGCTCAAGCTTTAGTAAGTAATAAAAATTCTCAATAACAATTTTATGAAACATTTCAATAGATATATATCTAGTACAAGTAACAAACACATGCTCTTCATCATCAATTTCTCTCCCATCACATAGCTTACAAACAACTTCACTCCTATCAATGTTCAACCAACGTCCTTATTCAATTCCAAGACTATGACATATTTTTCTATGCCGAGCAATAATATGATGTAGAGATCTCTGCAAGTAGTTATCTTTGCTCACGATAAGTTAATAAAACTCCATTTCAGTGTCTGGTCTACTCCAAATAATGCTAAAAAATTGCTCCTTAATACTCCCGCGAAGTGCCATAGGTTTCAAAGTCCAATTGAGTTCCATCATATTCCACCTCAAAGATGAAGTCACAACATCTGCAAACCATCCCTTGGAAAGTGTGGCATGCAAAACTTGAAGAGGAAGCCAAGAAGTACCAAGAGATCTTGCTCTTTTCATGTAAGTGATAGGTAACCAAGTATGGAAAGGTATCATTGGGAATTTAACTGCATAAGCTATTAAAAGACTTAAATATATAATTATTTCTAATTTCAGAGGATATTTTTTCTTTTCCCCTGCCTGTCCCACTCCCTTTGAAGATGCTAAATAGAGCTTCAGCCTCAATAGGTGAACAACTTGTTTCCTCAAGAAGAATAACATAAGAAGTTTGTATCCTCACATCCAATTCTTCTTGTAAGAAGATATTCTGCACCCTTTTCAAACGCTGCCAACCTGTCTTCTTACAACTAGGACCTCACACTTGTGTTCCATATAAGATAACGAGAAACACTAAGCTCCCGAGTAAGAATTTCCTAAGACTCCAAGACATTAGATGAGTTCCTCTACAATTATTTAGCAATGAATATAGAGCTTTGAAACCCGCTTCTATCTTATTTTGCACACAAAGTGCTCAACTATAATCGTAGTAGAAATCAATGACTAAATATTTATAAGTCTTCACTTGTTCCACCTCTAATACTTTGTAAAAGAAAGAAAGCTTGGATCTAGTGCTCACAAGAATGAATTTTAACCTCCATATGATTTTGAGTACAAAAGCTAGCCAAAGTGTCAAGAAGTTTTTGTAAATTAATGACATCATGTGCTAGTAATATGACATCATTTGCATATAAAAAAGCTTTGATGACAAAGACTCCAAGTTTGACACCTTCACTTTCACAATAATCTAACCAGCTTTTTATTTCATCTATGAAAACTCCAAAGAGAGTAAGAGGGAGAAGACAACCTCGAATGACTCCAATAGTACTCAAAATCTCTTCGGTTTGGAAATTGTTGATCTTGGCCCGAACGGAGTGATATAATGTGGCCATCGCTCCTAAAAGCTCTGATGGTACTCTAATAATTTGCAATTTCTCCATAAAAGTTCACGAGTTACTGTGTCAAAAGCTTTCTTGAAATCGATGAAGACACAAAACAAAGTTTTTTCATTGTCATTGGACTTGTTCCATAAAACACGCAAAATGAAGATATGATCTATAGTGTTGAATGTAGAACAAAAACCAACTCTCTTCTGACAAGATTCAACCCATGTGATCAATTTTGACTCTACCAATTTGCCAAAAATACTACCCACCATGATAGTCTTATAGTTTGTCATCAAGTCCTTGCTTCCAGATTTGTGAATAGGAACAATCTTACATAAAGACAAGTTGAAATAAAACCCATAGATAGTAGCAT